TCCTGCTTGAGCAGGGGGTTGGACTAGAAGACCTCCAAGGTCCCCTTCCAGCTCTATTCTCATTGATTGATATGATCTGGGGTCTCCTGTTTGAGAAGGGGGTTGGACTAGAAGACCTTCAAGGTCCCTCCCAGCTCTCTGCTGGATGGATTGATATGATCTAGGTAGGATCTCCTGTTTGAGAAGGGGGTTGGACTAGAAGACCTTCAAGGTCCCCCCCCCGCTTTTATTCTGTTATTTCCTTCCTTCCTTCCTTCCTTCCTTCCTTCCTTCCTTCCTTCCTTCCTTCCTTCCTTCCTCTTCATCAGAGAATTAGACTAGAAGACCTCCAAAGTCCCTCCCAGCTCTTTTATTCTGTAATTGTAATCCCAAACCAGTGGAACAGCTTGCCACCACAAGTTGTGAGTGGCTCCATCCGTGAAGGCTTGTAAGAAGAGACTGGACAGCCATTGGTCTGGAATGGTATAGTTTTTTCCCTGCCTGAGTGGGGGGGTTGGACTGGATGGCCTCCAAGGTCCCCTTCCGACTCTTAGCATTTCACTTTCTAAAGACTTACGGGAAAAGGTCAGCTCCGCCAGAGGGACGTCGCAGTCCATGCAGTCGTCGATGAAACAAATGCAGATGCTCTCCGCTTTGACTTCCACCCCGGAGACCAGCCGAAGGGCCCTGGAGCTCTGCCCGTCCGTGCCGCAGGACTCGAACCCAGAGCGCTTCAAAGGCTCGGCGTTCTTGAAGAGCCAGCTGGCGGCTTTCTTCAGCTGACCTGACCGAGACACCGAGGAAAGGAAAGTCAAGAGGGAATCCGGTGTCTTGCCACGATAATGTGCTGAACATTTCGTTGCCCTTTGAATGCTCCATTCGACAACCTCCCTTGCTGTGGTCGTTAAGTGAAACCACTGCAGTCAGTTTTCTGTGAGTTGCTCGGTTGCAAACAACCAACTATTATCCTGGTTGGAAATAATGGTGTAGTTTTACTTTAGCTTAGTTTAGCTTAGTTTAGCTTATCTTAGTTTATCCTAATTTATTTTATCTTAATTTAGCTGAGCTTAGTTTAGTTTAGCTTAATTTAGCTTAAGTTTAGTTTAAATTTATCTAACTTTAGTTTAGTTTAGCTTAGTTTAAGTTTAGTTTAACTTATCTTAGTTTATCAACTTCGTTTATCTTAATTTAGCTTATCTTAGTTTATCTTTATCTTAATTTAACTTATCTTAGCTTAACTTTAGTTTAGCTTAATTTAGCTTATTTTAGTTTAGATTAATTTAGTTTATCAGTTTAAATTTAGTTTAGTTTAGCGTAGTTTAGATTAATTTAGCTTCTTAGTTTAAGTTAAGTTTAGCTTAATTTACTTTAGCTTATTTTAGTTTAGCTTAGTTTATCTTAATTTAGCTTATCTTAGTTTAAGTTTAGTTTAGCTTAATTTAGTTTAGCTTATTTTAGTTTAGATTAATTTAGTTTATTTTAGCTTGTTTAGTTTAAACTTAACTTAGTTTAACTTTAGTTTAGTTTAAGTTTAGTTTAGCTTATCTTAGTTTATCAGCTTCGTTTATCTTAATTTAGCTTATTTTAGTTTAAGCTTATCTTACTTTATCTTAATTTAACTTCTTAGTTTAAGTTTAGTTTAGCTTAATTTACTTTAGCTTATTTTAGTTTAGATTAATTTAGTTTATCAGTTTAAATTTAGTTTAGTTTAGCGTACTTTAGCTTAATTTAGCTTATTTTAGTTTGTTATAGTTTAGCTTAATTTAGTTTATCTTAATTTAGCTTATCTTAGTTTAAGTTAAGTTTATCTTAGTTTAGCTTATCTTAATTTAAGTTTAGTTTATCTTAGTTTATCTTAGCTTAGTTTAGCTTATCTTAGTTTAAATTTAGTTTAGATTATTTTAGTTTATCTCATCTTAGTTTGGCTTAGTTTATATCTTACTTATCTTTGTTAAGTTTAGTTTAT